AGTCCAATCCACTTTGACATGCTGACTGTCAGAATGCGTGTGCCAAGTGCTTAGCTTCACTGTCTGTAGCCTTTCTTCTAACAGTTGATCCATACTGGGTGCATCTACATGTACAATTAATGCACAGAAAGCTTACTGTTAAGCTAGGTCGAATGGTCATAAACTACTACAAGACCGTTTCAGGCTGGACATAAGGAAGAATTTCTTTACTGTCCGAGCCCCCAAGGTCTGGAACAGCCTGCCACCGGAGGTGGTTCAAGCGCCTACATTGAACACCTTCAGGAGCAAACTGGATGCTTATCTTGCTGGGATCCTATGACCCCAGCTGACTTCCTGCCCTTTGGGCAGGGGGCTGGACTCGATGATCTTCCGAGGTCCCTTCCAGCCCTAATGTCTATGAAAATCTATGAAAATACTGGGGAGTAAGCTTTCAGTGAGAGCACAACTACATGTGCACCCATCAGGAGCAATTTTGCTCCTGATGGGAGCAGTTCAGGGCAGGGAAACACCTACCCTGCTCTCCTGCCATATGGCAGCCAAGGGGAGCTCTAAGCTCCCAGAGGTGCCAGCCCCAGGCTGACAGAAGACACTGGGGTTAGGCCTGGGCTTCAGGGGACAGGGTCGCAGCTGTTTCCCCATGCAGGAAAGAGTCCCCTTCCCCACAGTTTTTTCCCAATCCCTTGCCCCGATTGGCCGGTGGGACAGGTGCTGGAAAAGAGCTGCAAGGGAGAGGACTCTTTCTCAGCTCCTGCCCCAAGTGGCTGATTGAGGCAGGGGGCTGGGAAACAACTGTGTGGGAGGGGATTCTTTCCCAGCCACCTGGCCCAGTTGGCTGGTGGGGCAGCTGGCAGCAAGCCCTTGCTGCCAACTGCCCCTGACTGAGTGGGTGAATCCATGCCCAGATGCGGACTCACTGCTAACTACTCCACTGGCAGGACAGCTCATGACTGCCCCTGGCTGAGCAGGGAAGGAAGAACTCCCCAGTCCTGGCACTACTCAGTTCCCCGCCCCTGTGGAGGGTCAAGAATCCCACAGCACTGGGACAGAAGAGGGCAGAGAGGGACCCAGTCCCCATGCTTATTGGCTCCCAGCTTCTGGGGGGAGCCAGGAGCTGAGCAGTGCCAGGACCGGGCCCCCTGCTGGTGTGGCTGACTAGGAGCAAATTTGCTCCCGGTCAGCATCTACATTAGTCCTACTGTGCAGTATCTACTGCGCATTTAGTTTAGTAACTATATTTATAGATACTAGTTAAAGGCACAGTAAACTAATTTATTGCGCAGTAGGTTATGTGCATTATTACATGGTGACAGTTTACTGCGCAGTGGATTAGATTACTGTGCAGTAAAGCATCTCATGTAGACCTACCCACTCTGTTCCCAAAGCTATGAACAGAAGCTAGGTATACTAATTACATTGATCTTTTCCATAGTTTCTCATGGGCAGAATGCAATGTGTTTTTCTGGAGCTAGAGACAGGACTGGATGATGCCTAACCTATGGCCCGATGGTAAGAGCACAGTGTTGGAAGAAAGAGATGCAGGTTCAAAACCCTTTTGAACCTGGGTCTTCCACTTCCTGGATGTGTGTCCTAACTACTACTAGCCTGTTGATTTAAAATAGGAGAAGGTTTATTTGTTCCTCCTCCCCACCACCTCTCTGGTAAGTATTCATGCCAGATAATTCTATTTTGCCAGAGAGTGACAAAGAATCTGAAACTGTGTGTAAGCACCAAAAATGGAACTTACTGTTGTGTAATTGCTGTTTAGATGCATAAAATTAATAGGAAACAGCCCTGTATGTCTCCCACAAGATCATTCTTACAATTTTACTGGGGACTAGGTATTAATGACTGCTTTGAATTTGCTGATCTCCATCTGATATGCCTTAGCAGGATTGACTGATGAAGCTGTAATTATGCTAGTTTTTGGAATTAATCCTGAAGAATTAGAAGTGATTGCTTGTGAATGCTGGAAGGACTTGAGACTGAGTGGTACTTTTCCAGTATGTCCTTCAAAGTTTTGGCCTCTGTCTATGTTTGTACTGACTTAAGCAGGGATTGACGGCTCTGAGCTTCTTAGAAACAATTCAGCTGGTTGCAGGAACAGACTCTCCAAGGAAAGCCTCACAGAAATAACTAGGATGAAATATCAACTGGAGCAGAGGTAGCATGGGCAGATGTAAGACTTTAAAAAGGTGGGTTCAGAAGGTGTGGCACATCATCATATATAACACAATACCTATTTTCTCCACTTAGAAACTAAATGCTAATATGCAAGGGGCTTAGGGATGTATTATTCAGCTAAAGATCAGAATGTGAACTAGTTTGTTAATTATATATTAACTTTAAAAAACACAACACACTAGGCAAAAATAGTTGAAAGATCATTAGTCCTGTAATCATTATAGTTAAATGTACTATAAATCTTATTCAGATTTATAAAACAAAATCTAACTTTCTTGAGTGCTTCCAATATTTCATTGTCAATCATTTCTACATCTGAGCTAATATGACCACACCCGAGTAAACGCTTTTAGCTAGAGCAGAAGAGCAGTCTGCAGGGCTGTGAAATAGGAAACAGACATTACCAGGAATTAGGGTGGCCATCATAGAAGACATTCTGAAACCCAACTCCTTTATGTCCTCTATTTTCTCTTTAAGAGAAAAATAGAGGACATAAAGGCATTCGGGTCATATCAATAGAGGACAGAAGACAACCAGATTGTCCTGTATGATGGCCACCCTACCAGGAATGGCCAACAGACAGCAAACTTAAAGAAGAAAGGATAGTTGGAATACTGGAACATCAGCACCATTAAAAAGGAGAATGGACAGTTAACACCCATAGAGTGAAAAGAGATTAGCAGGAATCAGGGAGATGTCAATGAGCCATGAAGTCAGTTGACTCTTTCAACACTGTGAATAGAATTGCAGCAGACCCTCCCAGGCAGTTGGTTTTAAAGTTTGGGTGAAGCAGGAATCACAGATGGGTGCAATTGCACCACTGCAGTGCCTTGGATCTGCCCTAGAGACTCCTCCCTAGCTTGCTCCTGTGGCCATGAGGCTGAAGGCAGGTGAAACTCGGGAGCATCCAAACCCCAAGTCTTCAGGCTTGAGCCTGCATGTAGGATGCCTGCCAAATGATTTGGAAATATCTGAAGCCCCAGGTGGGGGTGGAGGATGTTTGCCGGTAGTAGGGCCACATATGGTTTTTGAATGACTCATGGATTTGGAATTGATTGGCTGATTTGGCTTGGAACACAACACATTTCCCTTAAAAAACCCCAAACAAAAACCAAAATAAATAAAACAAAAAAACCTGCCCCTGAGAGGTAGCACAGTTCTTTAAAAGCATTCTGTGTTGTACAAATAAGTTATTGCTGTGGCTTTTCAGGGTTTATAGCTGCTTATTCACTTCCTGTGACTGAGCAGAAAGCAAAGGATATACAATACGATTACTCATATCTTTACCTCCTATGTTTCCACCGGAAACTCATGCATATCTTTTTTTGCTTTGCTAACAGTTTTATGTGGGACATTTTCATCTCTTATGTGTCTGTCAAAGGACTTTATCAAAGCAATATGAAAGGAAGGGTTTGCAGAGATAAGCTGTAAATAAAGAACAGTGCCTTCTCCTGCCTACTTCTGCAGAATTAGATGGCTTAATTAGAGATGACCTGATAGTCTGGATGTAAGGTAAATCTTTGAGGTACATAAAAGGCAATGCAATATTTGCTTAGGTTTGAAAATAAATTGGTAACCTGATCTGGCTGGCATTAACAAAAAATAGCATATAATTAGGCCAGATCCTTAACTGCTGCCAATCAATGTAGCATCCTTAAATATTTCACTAGTTACATTCACTAGTGCAGATTTTTTCAACCCATGGGTCGTGACCCAAAAGTGGGTCAGAAGAATATATGAAAGGGTTATGAGCAAACTTTAAAAATGGATCAACAAACTTAAAAAATGGATTCCCCTTTAAAGGAGAAAAACATGAGATACTTTGGCTTTTCCCTTGCAGACTGGCAGAGTGCCAGCCAGCAAGAGGCTGCTTGGGGCCTCCCTTGCCCCACACACCCACCCACCGCCCCACACACTGGGGAGCTGGGGCCTGGGAGTGGGGGGCACTGGGTCGGGACTGGCCACTGATGTTTACAAATGGGTCCTGGTACAAAAAAACACTGCACTAGTAGATGTATTAGTACTAATGAAGGATCAGGCTTTCTCTATTTTATTCCCAGAGTAAATACTCAAAAAATTACTCTTGCTTTATGCATCCATACATAAACACACAACATACAGTATCAGATGCGGGTGAAAACTGGTCTGCTTGTAAACTCACCTGAAGAATTCATGCCAAAACAACAACAGACTTTATAACCAAGTAGAAACAGTGTAGTATAATTTTGTAAAATTCTCAACTGTTCTGAATATAGTTCTGTAACTGTTTTTCTTCTGTGGGTGTAACTGTGGTATATAGTATTATTAAAAATAATTATGACAATAATGCATTTTTCTTATATTCATTTTTTTGAAAGCTGTAGATATAAAGTCAATTTCTGGAATCCTTATTCAAGTTAAACTCCCTCTGATTTGAGCAGTTACAACAGATGCAATAACTACTTTAGTACAATAGCAATTCAAATGTGTATTTGTTTAAACTATTACTTTTTCATATTTTCCTGCTTCTTGTATTTCTGCACATAACAAAATGATTGGTGTGGACTGAGAAACTGTCCTCTTGATTTTTCGTGTGTTTGTGTGTATGTGTTACAAAGATAGCAGCACTGTTGTGTAGTGAAGTATTTATCTAGCTTCAGCAGAAAGAAGTTAGGCAAGATTCGGATGACAGGTCCATTAGCTATTAAAACCTATAAATAATTCATGGAATAACTCCATGGGGTGTTTTTCTTTCTCCTTTTCCTAAAAGTCTATAGCGTTTTGTCACTACAAGAAGATGAGTTGAACAGCTGCTAACCAGCAAAGAAACATTTATCTCCATCAATATAGCTTTTCCAGTCAGGCCACAGGAGTAGTCTTTGAATTTTCTTGGAAGCTTCTTTTATTGATTGCATTATTAACATTAAAACAATTTTTCCTCCCCAAGCCATTAAGGTGTTAGGCTAAGGATTAATGGAACCTGTAGTGCTCATGGTAAGTCTGTCTAAAGCATGGGTGTGTCCTATTAAATACCTCCAGTAAGTTTGAATCAGCATGTGAAAGGTATATTTGTGTGCAGTAGAATTTAATTTTCACAAGGTAATGCTCAGTTTCTAGCACGGGGTGCTGAAAAAGAAAAATGGGAAAGAATAACACATTTGCTTTATTTTTCTGCAGGTCCTGGACAAGATAATCTTTCATTCAAGTCACTTCCTACCAGGAAATTCCTAAAGTGAGAGGTCAAGTAAGACAAGCTGTTTTCCAGTATTTTGTGCTGTCACTCTTTGCCTTCTCAGCCTACTAGCAAATAAAACCCTATCTGGGACCCTACTTTGAGCTGTTTTCAGTTTGGGAGCCATTCTCAGCAAAAAAGAACTTGAAGTACTTGTATGTGAAAGACAGTAGACTGCTCTGACCTTGCTAAATGTGTGTGTTCACTTCAGTAGGTGGCAAAGCCACTTAGAAATAATGGCCTGCACGGAGATGGACTCTCTAATTTTTTTCTTCAAGAGTATGACACAGTAGAAATGCATCACCAATGAAATAAGAGCACAGACACTTAAAAAACCCATAGGCCTGAGTGGCACATACTCCAGGCAGCTTGGATGAAGTGAAGCTGTGTAGTTCAGGAGTCTTGAAAGGAAGTGAAGTTTGTGAAAAATGACTGTAGAATTTAATCTAAACTTCCTTAAAGAATTGGAGCAGGAGACTGTTTTGGAGGTTCTATACCGTGATCAGATGCTGAGAAAAGTGGATGAAGAAAGGATAAGGTATTATGCTTTTTTCCCCCCCTTTTGTTCTTTTTGCATTGTGCCATTCATTGCTGTCTCTTTTAATCTTACCACTTTTCTTGCATGCTCTTGGCTACTGGTATTTTTTCCAGCTGAGAAAAATAACAGTGATTATAGCCTCTACACTGTAGAATACTGGTGAGACCTGAACAAATACAATGCAGTGAATCATCTACTTCATGAATTTAGCTCTCAGCTTTTCTGGAAAAATCATGCCCCTCCAAGGATTACTCCCTCTGTGAAGAGTTTACAATTCAATTTTCTGTCATTGCATTCACTGGTGTGTAAGCTTATCCCCATTACAAAGGAAGACTTCACAGCTTGGCCTGTTTTAATTAATCACTGGTGTCAGGGTTCTGAACAGGGGATTTGGGAATCTCATCCTGAAGCTGAGCTAAATCTTGTTTCTTATCAAATAAAGTGTATTCCAAGTGTGTTGCCTCTCCTAGTCTCCAATTTTCTGTCACCACCATAGCAAATTTTATTTGCTCGATGAAAAGTTTTATTTCCTCAGCTTCACACAAATCTGCAATGTGAAGGCTGAGATCAAATCTCTGCCTGGCCTGTTTTATTTCCTTTGTATCAGGGGTTTGACAAGGAGCTTTGGCAGTTTGTACAGTACATTGTTGAGCAGCTTCCCCATATAAAACATACTATTTGTGTTGCTAATATTTACAAATGCAAGCCTTAAGTTCTCTATCTCCAAACATATGAATGGTGAAACTTAAAATTTGATTTCTGTAAGCATTTGTGTAAGTAAAATCTGATTGCAAAGCATCTATAGAAAGTAAATACTAAAAGACTGTAAGGAAAGGAAATTAATTCATTTTTAAATTTGAGCAATACATTACTCTTTTGTGGTAATTATGCCATTCTGCTTTACATGGTATTCTCCAAACAAAGGATTATGGTGTAACTAAATCTTAAATAGGTCAGGGAGCTTAGTGCTTGATGATCCTGACACTTTTAGGAGGCTATGAAAGGTAAGTAAAGGAAGCAAGTTTTTTTTTCAGGCATTTTGTTCTAAACTGTGTTTTAAAGCTGTATGTATTTTATTTGATTTGGTTTAGGTGGCATGTTCACTGAAGTTACTTATGGCAGTTCTCTTTCACAAGTCAGATTTTCAAAAGTACACACCCTTAGCCTTTTCCTCTTTTTGCTTGTGTAGCTTTGCAAGCAACTGTGCATTCATGCTATATTTTTGGTGCACTATCATGGGTGCATATGGTCTGCATGAACAGAATCCCATGTGTGCTGGATGACAAGCAGGACTACCTGTACAGCATTATGTTAAGAGTACCGTGTGCAAGGTGATGCATATTCATCAGTGTCACCTTGAGTCCCCTACACTGTCAAGGTCCCATTATACAAAGCATTGTACAAGCACATAGTATAGACAACCCCTGCCCTGAAGATCATTATTTCTCTGTTATGGCTATTTCAGATGTTTTGTTTGAATGTTTTTTTTAATGTTGCTTTTTGTTGGAGGGGGGAGGATTTATGCATTTTTGGGGACAGCTGCAGACCCTCTGTAAGAAGTGGGGAGTGTGGGCTTGGGAATGACATTGCTGGGGGGGGGGTAGGAGGGCAATGGAGTGTCTCTTGTTTCTTATTTTGTGGGTTGTTTGTCTTTTATTATAAGCTGCCCTGAGGAGCTAAATGTAAATAATCAAAGCAGATAAAATATACATCTAAATTATAATAACAAATAGAGGCACTGATTTGGAAATATGTTCCATAAAGGATTATCACTATGGCATATCCTTCATATCAGCTTCTGATTATACTTATTTTTATTTGTCTTGGGGGTTAGGAAATTGAAAACACAGCTGCAGCAGCTTCGGTGGAAAGGAGCTAAAAATGCAAGCCACGAATATCAGGAGAGGTCTTGTGCTCGCTGTCAGAAATCCTTGGGCCTTGTGATGAATAGAGGCGCGGTGTGCAATGGGTGCAGCCATCGAGTGTGTTCCGAGTGTCGCGTCTGTCTCAATCCCTACTTGTGGAAGTGCACCATCTGCTATGCTCATGGGTGAGAAACTGGATTGCTTTTGATAACCTATGGCCAGTTTTGTGTTTATCTCTTAGAGCAAATCATGACTGAGGGAGCAAGGAAGTCTCCTGGATTGCTTTAATTATACAGGTTTCCCTCGATTTATGCAGTACATGCATTCCCGTAAAACTGTGAATAAATTGAATTTGCATAAAGGGAACCCCATTTACAATATAAGACATAGTGATATGTTCCCACGGCAGTGAGGGAGGGAGGGAGTAAGGCTGGGACTAGGGAAGGGGTCGGGGGGAGGAGTGCAGCGCAGCCCGGTGGCCACTCAAGGGGCTGCAGCAGGGAGTAAAGTAGAGGGAACTGTCAGTGGGTGCGGGGCGCGGGACTGGGGGACACGGCTCTTACTGCTACATGCACCCCAGGAGGGCTGCAGGCTGGGGGGCTGTGCCGGGCTCTTCCTGTGGGGTGCGTGCCCCCAGATCTGCATGCATCATGAGAGCAGGCTGCTGCTGCGGGTTGGGGCCAGTGGCGGCACTGGGCTCTTCCCGACGCTCGGGGCAGGCGGCCGCGCTGGGAGCAGGGCTGCTGCCACCCCAAAATTTGCCATAGCCCCCCGCAACCTGCCCTTCCAGTGCCGGGAAGAGCTCGGTGCTGCCGCCAGAGCCTGGCATTGGCCACTCCCAGCACAGCTGCAGCAGGGGCTGAGGTGAGTGGGGTCCTGGCCCCACGGCCCTTTCCCCTCCCCCCAGCAGACTTACCTGCTTGGGGTGGGGCACCTATGCCGATCGCATAGGAGTAAATTTACTTCACATATAACGAATTTTGGGTATAAAAAGAGTCATTGCATAAGAGCAAATTCCCATGTACAAAACCCGCGTAAATTGAAGGAAACCTGTACTTAAGATACCGTTGGTAAGTACTGAGATCTTGTCACATCCCAGCCCCAGTGAAGTCCGTAAGAGCTTGACTTCAGTGGAACCATGTTCATTCCCTTGTGTTTAGCAAAACCTAGTGAAATATAGGACACTGATGCACCTGTACTTCAGCTCTTCCTGGGACTGTGAAACTAGGCAGGATTTGAAGTAGCTTGATTTTTATATAGAAATTATTCCACTGATGGCATTCTTCTCTGAGTCCATACTGATGCCATATATCCTAGCAGTCTGGTGGTGGTTTTGTGCTGCTAGAGGGATCATCTTTTATATAACAATTCCTGACCACTTGCTAGCTATTGGTGTAGCTATAATATACTCAAGTTAACCAATAGTATATATGTGTTAAAACACTTAGTTTAAATTTGAATGAGACCATTTTGGGGACAAGAATGTGCAGTCAGAACTTTAAATGCATCAGTTTTCAAATGTATTACCTTTTTACTTTCACTGCAAAATTCCAAATAAATGAACTGTAAGTCTTTTAATTTGCTTGTTTAAATAATTGGAGTCATAGAATCATGATTAGAACTTGTGATTCTGTTCTTGGTTTTTAGAAACACCCCAGTCTTTGTTTAAGGAAATCTATTTTTTTTTTTCATACTGCAGTTCTTGAAAAATTGTGCGTCTTCAGTGAGTGTTATTTACCTTAGAGCAGAGAGATGCTGCAAGGTTCTGTTCTTGATTAGGTATTGTTTGAACTTTCCAGTACAAGTCTGATCCAAAGTTGGTTGAGATGATGGCAGACTCTTTTCAGGGCTATATAGGTTAGGAGCTGGATAGAGACATGTTTGGGTCTCCTGCACTGAGGTGAGTTCTACTCAATGTCCCATATTTGAGAGCATGAGGAAAGATTTAGATGATTTAGAAATTTAGAACCCAGGTTTCAGAGATGCTGAGCATCCTTAATTCCAGCGAAGGAACCCACCTCTTAAAAAATCAGGACCTAAATACCTTGTTGTGGAGTCTTGATTGCTGGAGATGGTGTGTATTTTTGTGAAGAAAAATACTGACTGGCTGTAAAGTATTAGTTAAAAAACTTACTGATGAATATTTGATAGCTGGTGTCTTTTCATTATCTTCATCTTGGGTTTTTGTTTTTTTTGGTTAAACTCTGAATGCTGTTAGAATGTTTTTTTCCCTCACAATAAAGTACTGATATCAGAAACATCATTGAAGTTCTCCCCTCCCTACTCCAGTGGTAGATACTAAGATTACTGTAGAAGAAACTTGATCTATTGAACTGAGGACAAACAGTGATAAGAGTGCCGTTGGATAGTGTTTCTGAACCTTCAAAAACAAAGTGGAACTTTATCTCCCATGTTCTGAAACCAGATGAGTTCACTGATGTAAAGCCCGAGTAAACAAAATTCAGTGAGTTTACTGCTTTCACGACTTTGATCTGATGTGCTTATGTGGGTGAATAGATGGTCTCTTTTAACCTCTTGTGTGCCTTTTCTCTTCGTACATTTGAGAACAAGCATCTCAAAAGCAATCCGAATAAGAGCCATGGATATGTTTTACCATAGAGCTATAGAGAGGTCTCTGTTTGACAAAGGAATATGATTGGCCAAATTTGGAACTCACAATCTACTAGTTTTGTGTGGGGAAGGGCAGTTTAACTGAAATTGGGACTTGGAATGATATATGCTCATGAAATATAAGGGGAGAGAGATGCATTTTGAAAAAGGCAGTAATAAAACCACAAAAATTGGCCAGGGGACTCAGAGGCAGTTGTATAACTTTAAACTACTCAGTACTTCTTGTTTGAAACAAATGGATTAGATTTCAAGTTGACTGTGGTCATGAAAATCAATTTAAACTTTACAGGCCTGTTTTCTTTCTTGTATACTGTGGAACCTTGCAAAAAGGTGCTGCCTTTTTTGCATCACTGCACACGAATGTGGTATCTTAGCAATCAACATACACGTGTTGCATTAAAAAACAACGTGCATAATAGCATGACATTTTGTCAGTGGTTTTACGAGCTGTAATTTTTGCTTTGTTTACTTTCACAGCTATCTAAAAGTGAGGAAAAACAAAAACTAAAGTTATGGGTTTTTTGCAAGTAAATTCTTTAGAGACAAAAAAATGCCTTGTTGCAGTTTTGATCAATAATAATTCACGAACCCTTTGCCAGGGAAAACTAGCTTCAGCCCTCTAATTTTGTACATATTCAGTTATTGTAAATCATGGCTTGTTGCTTTGCATCAGATCGGGAGAAATAAAGAAATGTATATGCCAGTGTTTGCTAGTTCTGTAAGTCACATGCCCACAAACCCTCAGTGATAGAACATTGGTTTACAGATTTGAAAGAGAGGAAATTCTCCATGGCTGTTTAGAATCGAGGCACCCCTTGAAAAATGTCAGCTTTTAGTCTTCACAGCTAGGGACAGACATTCAAAACGCCTAAGTCTTTGCAGGTTAGTCTAAGCTGTGCAGCTTAAACTGATTAATAAGTGGACAGACATGCTCTGGCAACCAGGAAATGCAGGTACATGCCTGAACTGGCTCAATGGTCAAGCCAGAAGCCGGGGTGGGGGGGTGGGGTGCTAGAGCATGCCTGCCAGCCACTGCCAAAGGGGAGGGAAGAGAGATGCCCTCCAAGGCTCTCACCCCTCTCTGCTGGAACGGAGGTGGTGCCACCAGGCACCAGCCCAGGCTAGCACGCAGGGGATGGGGGAAAAAGTCCTTTCTCTGAAGCAAGCATGTATTGAACACAGCAATTTGCAAAGTATACAACAGGGAACTACCAAAAATCTTTGCCTAAGCTGTGATACAGCCCAGTAAAACACAGTGTACACAGCTTTGTCTAACTTAAAATGTAAACCAGAAAGACAAGAATTAGTTTTACTAATCCTGAGGGCAAAGTGTCTCCTTACAGCCAGGCATTCAGAAAGGCTTTATAATATAAATGTAGCTCTCTTTATTCTTTGGTGAAGCTGTTTGCAACTTCTCTTAACTCTTAATCAGCATGTGTGATGTTCGTCAGTCTTTGCCAGCACCTACTGTTCCGGACACCTGGCAGAGACTGCAGCCAAACCAAAGCCCCAGGGGTTCCTGGGGAAAGAGAGGACAGAGTGAGCAATTAACTCCATCCCTACCTGTTTGCAGGCAAGCCATAGAGATGTGGCTGGGGCTGGCAAATGGCAGTTGTGGTTCACAGGGCTTGCCAGCAGAGGGGAGAGAGGACGGAGGGAGAAATTTGCCTCGGGGGCCATGGCAGGCCAGCGTCTGGCCACACCCTGCCCCTGCTCTGGCTAGAGAGCAGGGGGAGCAGCCAGCCCTGCTGTGGAGCAGAGAGCCCCGCCCAGCCCAAGAGCATGCTGGGATGCTGGGGGTGTCTGGTTTATCTGAAACCAGCCAGGGGTCTGGGACAGACATTGCATAAACCGGGTTGACCCAAATCAGTTAAGTCTGATACTACATTCAACAAGGTCTATCTCAAACTGGTTTTGGCCATTTTCAAGCTGGTTTATGTGCACTGAATGTCTGTTCTGTTACAGGTTTAAACCAGTTTCTGATCACTTAAACGGGTTTATGTGTAATGTCTGTCCCTGGCCCACTTGTTTTTTTAACTAAAGAAAAATAGAAGAGCAGTTCTTCGGTAGCAAAGAACTCCGCCCACAACAGATCAACTGTTTTTGACACTATGGCTTCCTATTTGAAATCTCTGAGTTTATCTTGTGAATAATGTTTGCACACCTAACAGTGCTAATATTACATGGAACACTGTAGCATCCTTGAAAGGATGTCAAGGCACCTCTGCGTGCCACAGCACCCAGTTGAAAATCACTGCTGAGACACAGAAGGGGAACAAAGAGAGCTAGAGGAGTATGGTGCATAAAGATGGCACCACCAAAATTTTACTTCTGAAGTATTGGCGTAACCAGAGACATCAGTCTGTTACCACTATGTCATGTTCTTAAATTGTAACATGCCAAGTTGTGCTCCTTCTAATATGAGAGAAAGGAATATCTGAAGTTTCCTGCATAGCTGATCTATTATGATGCAGTACATGGCTTTAGAGTAGTGCCCAAGACAAGGTAGGGAAGGTTGTTTCAGTTTTCTATCTCAGAATTTTCAAGCTCTGTTATTTAAAGTTAGGTACCAAAAATCTCTGGTTGGCATGTAAGTAGCCTGATATCTGAAGAAGTGGGAATTTTTCCTTTCCATTTGGGGTCATGGAAGCTCTGTATATTTAATTCCTCTAAATATAGACTTTGTATAGACTTTATGGCTAGCAGTTCAGAGAGTAGGTCGGGTTAAAAAATGGCCCCCAATCTAAGGTATGTTAGGGGAGGAGGAGGGATGGGCGGCCTGGGGAGGCTAGTGGTGAGGCTTGGGGTGTTGTGGCGTCGATGGGGGGAGTTGGGCTGACTTATCTGCAGGAGGGAGGGAGTGCTAAAATTAGCCCAGTGCCAAGGGGGCAGGTAGGAAAAATGCAGCTCTGGGGCTGGGGCCAGTGACTGAGCTTTTCCAGTTCCAGGGCTGTGCTGGGAAAGTGTGCAGAAGTTCAGTTAGATCTGTCTAGCCATACCCAATCTAACTTGCTGCACTTCCAAGGTACAGTTAAATTAGATTGGTTCAGCCATTTTTGACTGATCTAATCTTCCTGGAACAGTTTGTACTTGCACTTACTAGTCAGGTCAGTCTAAGGTCTGCATGTGGGTGAACTAAGTTAGATGGGATGGTCATTTTTAATGCGATCTAACCTCCATGAACATCTGTATGTACCCACAAAGTTGCTTATCTTTAGGTGCTTAGCAATGGAACCTAAGGTGAGACAGTGTCCTACAAACTCTCTTACCTACTGTCAAATAGAGTGAGCGGCTACCCCAGGGCTATTTTTCTTTGGCCTTTGTGGATTTCAGAATTGTTTATCACTTAGCTGAAAGACGCTTGTTAGTTTTTTCTTATTCTGAGAGACTGTTCTTATGTTGATTGCATACTCAGTGAAGCATCACCCTTATAAGATTCTGAATCTGGTGGCTGACATCAACCTCTCCATAAAGGAAAGCTTAAGATGAAGGATAGGCTGTGGTACCAGCCCATTCATATCAATGTTGAGAAGACATGTTCTTCCCTTCTCTAGAACTATGGACCTGCCATTTGGCACGTGCTCTTATGTAGCCATTTTAAATTCCACTGAAGAGCATGCACTTCAGCATTGTCCATTTTCACTTATTTGAGCTAGGTTATGACTGGAGGCAAATATACATCCAAATGTGCCTTGCCTGAGCTCATACAGCAAATTGGATGCAGAACTGGGAACAGAACCCAGGACTTCTTGACCTCCAAACAGTTCCTCTACATGCTATTTAAGACTTCCTGCAGAATAATTCCCACATGGAGAATGAAGTTCACCATTTGCCCCCATGCCTTCAGTGGGGACTTCTGTAAGGTATTAGTTGTACTGAAGGATTTTCTTATTTCTTTTGATTTGTTAAATAGACATTTATTATTTTGTCTCAAGCACACACAATTAAATATGAAAATATATATTGTAAACTGCATAGACAAGGTTCAGGTGTCTGCTGTTCTGTTTTTCAGAGCCATGAAGGTAAAAACTGGTGAATGGTTCTTTGAGGAACGAGCGAAGAAATTCCCAGGTGAAGGTAATCACCCACCCAGACAACAAACAAACTCCTGTGCAGTATGTAGCCCTTATGGAAGTAAAAACAATCCAAGTCCTTACCATGTCATTCTGTTTCATTTCCCAACTGGTGGGAGAGACGTGTGAAATAAAGACAACATTTTGTGCTGTAGGTTCAGTGTGTGGAAGACTGCAGAATGCATGTCTTTTTGTCTCTAGCAGAAACCAGAATACTATATTTGAAAGCACAAAGCAATTTGGCTGGGTAATATGAAAAATTTGAACCATATCAACTCGAACAAGGTGACGCAAGCTGTGAACACCAAATAAGGGTACAGCTTGACAGTAATATGAAATACAATGGCATGTGAAATAACCATACAAGCACTACAATATGTGGACAGAAATGACATGATTCAGTCTCCATTAAAATTAATGGCAAAGCTTCCATTTAATTTAGTGGTGCAGGCTATGAGGTAGACACTCAGGGCCCTCCTACCAGCAGTGGGGTCACCAAGCACCAGAGGAAGTGGGGGAGGAAGGAGGTGCATGCCCATCCACCTGTATTACCCCCCCTAGATCTGCTCGTTTGAATCGCATCCAAATGGGAGTTTGCAGTGCACTCTGTCCAGCCTGTAACCAAGGAGCTGAGTTGAAGCAATTCCTCACTTCTTCCAGTATGGGACACTCACTGTTTTAAACTAATAGTGACTTTGGAAATAAGAAGGGATTGTACATAGGGGAAACCAAGAACCAGTGGACCCTAACTACCTCCTTTATGATAAGGGGGTTGGGCTGGAAGGCACCCTTGGGAGCATGATTGGCTTTTGCCTTTTGTTTGCCCAGGAGGATGTTTATGACTGGAAAAGTAAAAGGTTGTCATATAAGTGTAGGATCATAGGAAAGTAGGGCTGGAAGGGACCTCACAAGATCATCTAGTCCAGGCCTTGCTCAAGGCAGGATCATCCCTGACAATACTGTCTCAGTCTGTCTAACCTGCTCTTGAAATCTTCCAAGAATGGAGATTCCACAACTTCTAAGTAGCCTGTTCCAGTGCTTGACTGTCCTCATCAGAAAGTTCCAACCTAAATTTCCCCTGCTGAAGCTTGAAGCCATTGCTCCTCATCCTGTCGCATATGGTCACAAAGAAAAACCCCATCCTCTCTATATTTACCCTTCAAGTATTTGAAGACCGTTATCAAATCTCCCTCTCAGTCTCCTCTTCTCCAGACTAAATAACCTTAGTTTCACAGTTTCATAGTTGGTAGGGTCGGAAGGGACCTGAGCAGATCATCAAGTCCAACCCCCTGTCATGGCAGGAAAAAGTACTGGGGTCAAACGACCCCAGCAAGGTGTTCATCTAACCTCCTCTTAAAGACCCCCAGGGTAGGAGCCAGCACCACTTCTCTTGGAAGTTGGTTCCAGATCCTAGCCACCCTGACAGTGAAGTAGTGCATCCTGATATCTAGCCTGAATCTACCCTCTGCCAGCTTGTGACTGTTATTTCTAGTCACTCCTGGTAGTGCTCGGGGGAACAGGGACTCCCCCAATGCCTGCTGCTCCCCTCTGACTAGTTTGTTCTTAGAACCATGCAAGTACAGTATTGTTAGTGTGTATTGCGTCTGATCCCATGGATGAAATGATATTAAATGTGGAGTTGGGAACTACTTTATTGAATACATCTGGGGGTGGAGGGCAGGAAAGTCTATCAGACAAGTAAATTGAAAATAAAAACAAGCACATCAATTGATATAGCAACTTATCAACTGTAAATCTCAAAGTGCTTTAGGATCATAGAAAAGAAGAGCTAGAATGGACCTCAGAAGGTCATTCAGTCCAGCCCCTTACTCAAGGCAGGACCATCCCTGACTAAACCACCCCAGTCACATGTCTCTCTAACCAGCTTTTGAAAGTTTCCAAACACGTAGATTCCACAACTTCTCTAGGTAGCCTGTTCCAATGCCTGACTGCTCTCATAGTCAGAAATTTCCTCCTAATCTCCATCTTAAATTTCCCCTGCTGTATCTTGAGGCCATTGCTCCTAGTCTTGTCCCCTACAGCCACAGAGAAAAGCCCATCTCCATACTCTCTATAAATCGCTTTTCAAGTATTTGAAGACTGCTATCAAATCTCCCCCCTCAGTCTTTTCTTCTCCAGGTTGGATAACCCTAGTTCTTTCAGACTTTCCTCATAAGTCTTGCCACTGAGGCCCCTAATCATTTTCATTGCTCTGTGCTACACCGTTTCCAAACTCTCCACATCCTTTTTGAAGTGTGGGGCTCAAAACTGGACACGGTACTTGGGGTGAGGTCTTGCCAGTGAAACTCTTGTTAAGACAACACAGTATACTCTTGGCTTTTGTGCAACAAGAGTGCACTGTTGCTCCCCAGCCCAGCCTCTGGCTTCTTTACTTTTCATTCCATCCAAGAAGAGCACACACCAACTGCTGAAACTTCCTTAGCCTGATGAAGGGTTTTTGAACCCAAAAGCTTGCTTAATAACTATTCTCCAACTATTTGGGTTGGTCTAATAAAAGATATCAGATTCACCCTAGGAACGTTGTCTGCCTATGTCCTTAGACCAACACGGCTACAACCTACACCCCTGTTGCTCCTAGTCAGTTTATTGTCTATTATAATTCCCAGGTACTTCTCTGCAGTACTGCAGCCTAGTCACTCATTCCCTCATTTGTATTTATGCATGTGATTATTCTGTTCCGAAGTGCAGGCCTTTTCACTTGTCGTGGTTGAATCTCATCTGGTTGATTGCAGACCATTTCTCCAGGTCATTCTGGATCTTATCTGTACTCTCCAGGATGTCTGCAACACTACCCATTTTGATGTTATCCAAAAATTTGCTAAGCATGCACTTGATCTCATCATCCAAATAATTAATGAAAATATTAAACAATAATGGACCCAGGATAGAGCCCCTTGGATGTCGTGGTTGAATCTCATCTGGTTGATTGCAGACCATTTCTCCAGGTCATTCTGGATCTTATCTGTACTCTCCAGGATGTCTGCAACACTACCCATTTTGATGTTATCCAAAAATTTGCTAAGCATGCACTTGATCTCATCATCCAAATAATTAATGAAAATATTAAACAATAATGGACCCAGGATAGAGCCCCTTGGAAATCTGTCAGAGGCCGGCTAGGCGCTGTGAGTGTATCAGCCGTGAGGCTGCTGGGTTCAGGATTGAGGAGGCGAATCAGGAGTGAAGTAAAGGCAAATTTACTTATAGCTTAGCATATGACAGTTAACAGAAAGGTTAATGCGACAAACAGATAGTACAGTAATAAAGAGCTAATAGTGAATGATAACAACAGATAGACAGAATGACAAAGGGTTCCCACATGGGGTTGGCAACTTATCGGCAGTCCCTCTATGCCAGGTGCGTACCAAGTTGTTCCAGGAAGTTGTCACTGAGAAAGTCCCTATGTCAGGATCTGGTCCTCACTCACACTGGGAGTCCGGGGTCCATGCATGGTACAGCGATGGTCCTTCTGTCCCATCCTTCATGCTGGTCACCTGACATACATGCTTCTTTATACCTTATCTTATGCTAATCTATTGCCTTTAGAGCCACTCACAATCTTGTCCTATAGCTGTTACCCTATGGAATCAAAAGGTGTTAGAAATTATCATGAAAGGTTACTGCCTGAACTCGGGTTCACCCAATAAGCAAATGACACCACATTACTTTGTGGTTTGAAATTAGCATTACCTGCCTAAGCTCAACTCCTTAGTTTTTTATTCCTGGATTCCTTGGAATGTGCTGATTATATTAGGTGGTCAGTTCTTGTTATGGCTTGACCTTTAAAAACCTGTTAGATCAGCTAATATTGTAGCTCTGCTTATTTTTGGGGCTCAGTGGTCCCATGATCAGTGCAAACAGTTAGATTCAACACTTTGGTTAAATGGTGACAGACACATTCCACTTGCAGGTTGCAAACTTACAAGCTTTGCATTAGCTAATCTTAACTCAGACAATTACCAGATGCTTCCAAGAGCATATATTTTTTGATTTAACCCCTCTGGTTCTGGCTACCACAGAAATCCCATTGGAATCATAGAAAGTTAGGGTTGAAAGGGACCTCATGAGGTCATTTAGTCCAACCCCCTGCTCAAAGCAGGACCACCCCAACTAGATCATCCCAGCCAAAGCTTTTTCTAGCCGGGTCTTAAAAATCTCTTAAGATGGAGCTTCCACCACCTCTCTGGGTAACCTGTTCCAGTATTTTACTACCCTCCTAGTGAGAAAATTCTTTCTAATATCTACCCTAAACTTCCCTTGCTGCAACTTGAGACCATTGCCCCTTGTTCTGTCATCTGCCACGACTGAGAACAGTCTAACTCCGTCCTCTTTTGAACCTGCCTTCAGGTAGTTGAAGGCTCCTATTAAATCCCCTCTCACTCTTTGTCTTCGTCAGACTAAATAAGCCCAGTTTCCTCAGCCTCTCCTCAGAAGTCATGTGCTCCAGTCCCCTCACCATTTTTGTTGCCTTCTGCTGGACTTTCTCCACTTTGTCCACATCTTTTCTGTAGGAAACACAGTACTCCATATGTAGCCTCACCAGTGCTGAATAGAGGGGAATACTCACTTCCTTTGAACTGCTGGCAACACACCTACTAATGCAGCCCAGTATGGTGTTAGCTTTCTTCACAACAAGGGCGCACTGTTGGCTCATATTCAGCTTATTGTCCACTGTAACTGCCAGGTCCTTTTCTGCAGAGCTGCAGCCCAGCCAGTCAGCCTCCAATCTGTACCAGTGCATGGGGTTGTTCTGTCCTAAGTGCAGGACTTAGAAAAGATTATCAAAGAGATCATTCTCAACAGACTGGCCGATGGCAAAATCCTGAAGGATAGCCAGCATGGGTTTGTCGTGGGTAGGTCTTGCTTGACCAATCTTATTTCCTTTTACAACCAGGTGACCTATCACCTGGACAAGGGGGAAGAGACTAATGTCATATATCTTGACTTTAAAAAAGCCTTTGATCTGGTATCCCATGATCACCT